ATCTTCAATCGCACTGAGCAAGGAAATATTCTAAAGCAGTATTTTCAGTCTTGCATGATGGCTGGGTAATCCTGGGAGTTGAAGTCCATATGTTAAAGTTGCCAAGATTGAGAAACTCTGTTATAAACGATCGCCATACCTAATTTTGTGTTCTATAATCAACAGCAGCAATTCAAGCAACACTTCTAGAAAGTGATGGCCATTTCTACTTAGATCTGTTCCATGTGGCCCTATTCATAAATTTCATGTTTACAGTGATTCAGGCTCCATAGGCTAAAATAAATGCAAATGGACTCTTTAATGAAGACGTTTTAGGATGAAAAACTCTAGGCTTTTCATCAAGGATGGCATTCCATTGTCATACTTTATTAAAGTCAACCTGAAAGGGGTGGGAGGAGGAAAGGTAGAGGCATGAAATAATATAAATAATTTGAAAGGCTGGATAATTTAATATTTGCTAATTAAAAAAGGGAAAAAACTTTTTAGCATGTAACATAGGCATAGCTAATTATGAAATGAAAACTATTTAAAATATATAAGTGCTAAACTATACCAATTAGGGCTTATGCTTGTTTTTCAGCATTAATGTTTTAAAATGAAATGTTTAAAAGGTTGGTTATTAAAACTTCATGTGTGCAGATTCAGATATAATAGTAAAAAAGGGGGAAATGTGAAATACATTTCATAGTCCAAATAGGGCATACAGAATATTCAGTAATAGAACTAGTATAAAAAAGAGGGGGGAATAGAAGGATGGTGGAAAGTCTGGAATTCAAAAGCTTTGCAGGAAAAAACAAGAATTCTTACCTGGGGAAGGACTCTATATATAGCATTTCCACACTGAGTGACAACTAGGTCTCTATCAAATATAATATGGAAAGGAAAAGCCTTGCAAAATGTGTATGGACTGATGCGAGACTCTTGAGTACCATTCTCTTCAAATCTGTCAAGGTCTTCATAAAAATCTTCTTCTTTAGATTCTTTTTCTTCGATTAAGAACTGAATATGGTCACACTCTTCATTTCTTTGTTGAATAACCTGAACATCATAAAGAAAATGTGGTTAATACAATAATAGTCTATTTTTATTCTTCAGCAACAAGTGTTGCTCATACTAAATTCCAATCTAGACACCTAAAGTGCATGATAAAAATCAACAGACTTAAATTAGAATTCCTGGCAGTGTTATAGCTATCTAAACAATGAACTAATGGCGTAAATGTAAGGCATGATGACTTAAGAACAAGAAAGTCTACTTTTGAAGTTCAATTTGCTCTTCAGATCAAGTGATTTGCCAAAGAAAGAGGGTCATCAGGAAGAATCAATTTACAGCATAGAAAACTATAGGTTCCAAAAAGTCCCTTGCATGATTAAGAATAACTTGACAATTTGAATCTATACTTTCTCGAATACCCAAATCTCTTCGCAATACTTTGAATATATCCAGTGCTTCTCTAGTATATAAAACCAAGAAAGGAAGAATAGTGCCAATGAACAGAGATTTGATTTTGCTTTAAAATATAATGAAATATAATAAATGTTTTAAGTTAGAGCATTCAGTGTAAATGGGACACTTTCACAATATAGTTTTGTGTTCTGTCCCCCCTTCTCCGCTCATTAACAGACGACAGGCAGACAAATTTAAAAAGGAAGAACTTTATCAGTTCTCGGCTCAGACTGGCTGCGAGCCCAAAAATAAACATAAATAAAGTCTCTGA